AGTAAATACAGAAGAGAACCAGCACAGTAACCATCCAATACTAGACACAGCATCAGGGGACATAAATACCTTCATGACCTCATAGACAAATTTCTTTCTTTTTTTTTTTAACTTTTTTTCGGTACCAGGAATCGAACTCAAGACCACCTACTTGCAAGGCAGGTGCTTATGCCGCTGAGCTAAATCCCCAGCCCCTCATAGAGGAATCTAAAACTGTACTTCTGATCCGTGAGGCAAGATATAAAAAGATTAATTAAAGAAATTATAAGCCCCTCCCAAAAGAACAAATATTTCAAGGAAAGAGACACTATGGTAACTACTGTTATGTCAGGTTATCTTTTGGTGAACACTATGTTGCTTAAATTGTTCTGTTCTGACAGGTGTTGTTATGTCCTCTTTTATCTTAATCTCCTTTCTTTTAAATAATAAAAGAAGAGTAAACAGGGCCTACTTCTCTTTTAAACACAGCCCATTTCATTTGTACAAGAACCATAGCAGGGATTATCTCAGGAATGTAGGAAAAAGGAAGAATTCTGGGCTCTTATCTGCTTCCCAGTAAAAGTAGGATTTGTGTTTCCTCCTCAGGGACTTAAAAACCACATTCATTATGAACCATGACTCTTCTTTTGAGCCTATAGATACTGTCTTAGTTACTTTTCTCTTATTGCTGAGACAACATACCCAACACCCACAGTTAAGAAAAGTTTGTTTAGTTCACTGTAGAGGTTTCAGTCCATAATCAGCTGGTACCAAAGCAGGGTATAATGGCAGAGGAACAACTTCATGGTGACAGAAGACAGAAAAAGCAAGAACAAAAAAAGGGGAAACAAGCCTTTTCTGTCCCTTTTATCCAGACTGCTGAGATTAAGGCAGTACCAATCTAATCAGTAGACTTACTCAGTGATGGAGACCACAAAGAAGAAGCTCTGAGCAGTATTTAAAATTAAAACAAACTGGCTTTGTATGGTTTTTTGGGGAGTCTGTCCAAAGCTTAGGCTCCCTGTTGGAGATGGGAAGGCGACTGATAGTGAGTAAAACTATCAGTCACTGGTGCTGGATTAGTCACTGGTCCTATAGTGACCTGTGATGCTATGATGCCTCAAAGCACAGGAGAAGGTCACAGCTGAGGATACCCGACTCCCACCCCAATTAACTAAAAAAACACTGTAGCTGCAGGCATTTCACTCCTGTAGTGAAAGTCAACCTGGGAACTTTCTCCTAAGACAATTCTCATAAATCAATGTAGTCTATTACTTGGAAAAGTCCTTGAGGGCTGGGGATATAGCTGGGCAGCAAAAGTGCCTGCCTGGCAAGCACGAGGGCATGAGTTCGATCCCTGGTGCCAAAAAATAAATAAAAAATAAAATGTGGATAATTCAAAAACATCTTAGCTGGATATTTAGCTCAGCAACATAATCACCTGAGTGGCAAGTGCAGTCATGAGTTCGATCCCTGGTACAAAAAAAGTCCTTGAACTGCTATTAAGGTCCTGCTTGGTTTTCTGACTTTTCCACTCTAATCCCTTCCTTGTTTGAAAACCAAATAAATACAGGCCACTCAGAGAAGTTCTTTGTCTCACCCAGGCAGTCTTGAGTTTTTGAGTCTTGAGGGTTTTGATCCTCCTGTAGTCCTAAAAATCATACCACTTGTCTTATTTAAGGCTTTGCCAGCTGCTCCTTTGGGAGTTTGTGGGCCTGATCAGTCTGCAATAATCCTGCAGTCACACAGCCTTAATTCCAGCACCCTTAATATCAGCACTGCACTATGAATCCATCAAAACTCTAGATTCATCTGCTTCAGAAAAGCCTGCCCCCCATGACTGCCTGAGGCTTTGGGGGAACATCCAGACACAAACCAAAACAGGCACCCAATAGGTAACTAAAAACAGAACAAATACTGACTTTCATTTCTAATCTTTGCTATTATAAATCCTAAAACAAGTGCCTTCTCAGTTCTGTATGTAGATAAGTAATCACTCAGGGATTGTCTGTCTAAAAGTTGGCAGAACAAGGCTTATTAGCTCTGAATTTCTTACCCTATTCTTACCCCATTCAACATTGAGAAAACCAGGAGAGAGGACTTGCAGGGACGTCCAACTATGCCCAGAAGTCTCAGCCCTTGTCCTGTACCTGCCACCTGGTAGCATGATCATCCTCTACCCATAAAGATTCTGGATCTGTGACACAAAGACTGAGAAACTATGACATCCGTGCTGAGGTAATGGCAAACTGGGCCCTATCCCACTAGCCAATCCTTGAAATCTGGTTCTTTTTTGCCTTTCTGGGTAGGCCAGTCTAAACTCCTATATCACAGTGTACTCTCTTCAGCTACCAAAGCTGGAGTCCTTTCCTATCTTCCCTCTAACTTTATAATTAAAAATTTCCCCCTGCAGCCCGAAATTTTAGCTCAGTGGCTTAAGTGCTTGCCTAGTAAGCACAAGGTCATGAGATCCATCCCTGTTACAAAAAAAAAAAAAAAAAAAATCCCCTATATATTTGTACTGTAGTTTTAATTTTTAGTATTACTAAAATCAAAGGAGTAGGACAGACAGCAATAGTATTTTCTGGTGAATCAATTCCCTAATTTGTATAGGACTCTCAAAATCAGAAGTTTTGTGTCACATCACACCATTCCCAGCAACAAGGCAAGGCCTAGTAGCAAATTGCCTCTATAGGTATCAGAAGAAACATGCACAATGTGTAACCTTAGATATCACCATGCTTTATGGGGTCACTTTGGGTCCAAGACCTAACAAATAATTATATATACATTATACATTGCAGTCTCTCTTTAATTAACCAGCAAAACATGCTCCTTTGAAACCACCTTCTTGTCCTTCAGGCTCATTAGTGTAAAAACTGCCTGCCTAATATTAATGCTATTTATTAATTTGTATGCTTTTAAACATTAGAGATCTTTTGCCACATACAGTTTTAGCAAATTTGTGGCAATGTTATCAAGGCATTTTTTGGGGGGCTGGGTATTCTTGTCTCTGTGCTGACTGAATATTTTTCATAAAGAGGTGCTTTGCTTTGGTGACTGGAGCAAGTGTTAGTGGCAAAATTAGACTTCAAGTGAACACTCTCAGGCAATGATAAGGAAGCTTTTAGAGACCAAGTACCAAACTGAAACCCAAAATCCACTTATCCCAGAGTGCCAACACTGTAATTAAACTGGAATTCTGAGGTTTTAGTTTTTTAAAAAACAGTTAACATATTTTGTCTTTAAAGAAAAACTTAACAACATCCATGCCATAGGTTCACCACCACTGCTCTTGGGGGATACTACTTCTCTTTTTTCTACCATTTTCCATAGCACTTTACCAATTTTTCCCTCTCTCTCCTCCCCTTCCCCTTCCCTTTCTTCCTCTCTCCCTCTAACTCATGCAGGTCTGTACACACACACACACACACACACACACACACACACACTCCTTGTCTGTCTTTTGAAATGGGAGAGTTGGAAGAGAGATTGGGTAATTTAACTGAAGGAACAACTATTCCTTTAGTGTATGTGTTTCTCTTCTATATGAACACAAGGGCCTTATGGAGCAAATATTACATTATAAAACATTACTGGAGAGTTAAAATGATTGCCAGAATTGTTGTGACAGTTGGGATCTGGGATCTTAGGGGTCTTCTCATAAAAAGACCCTCTGCTTTTCTGGTTCTTGCCTTTACCCCTGTGAGGAATGCAAGAGTAGGACAAGGATAACTCAAAACTGAAGATTCTCTAGCATAGAATGAGTCAGGTCATCCCACACAGAATGATGAACTAAGAAATGAAGGTAAGATGAAGCAGAGGTTTGCTTATAATATTGCAAAGGCAGGGACAGAGCTGCTGAACCACAAGCTGTACAGCAAGGAGAAGCTTGAAGAAGCTTCATGAGACTTATTTTTTTGTTGTCCACTCTTATAGGGGTTCTACATCGATCAAGTTCTTAGTCTTTTTGCTGGGGTGAGCTGTTGCTAGGGTGAGCTAAGGTTTATGAAGTTTTAGAGGTTTTCCAGAAGTGGGTCACTAAAAATAACTGTTATGCACCTATAAAATTCTCACAAAGTGCAATTTCTTCTAGTAAGCAGATGGTCATTTGTACAACCATCTGCCATCATCAGTCATGTCCTGTCAGCTACTTTATGACCCTGCCTGTCTCCCATTCTCACTGACTCTACATTCCTCTCTTCAATTCAATCATTCTGCTGGGGTGTTTTTTGTGGTAGGAGTCCTGTCTCCACCCCAACCAAGTGAGAAGTCTCACTTGGTTGATTGGATATTGGGCTTGTGGGATAATGAGGGAATTTGAGTAGGCTTGGCAACCTGCTCTATGAAGGACAGGGTCACCTACACAAAGGCAGGTGTCAAAACCACACACTGTCAGCTCTAGACCACAAAGCTATTTGAAAACTGCCTTATTGCCCATAGCAACACAGAGCCTGCATTTTCTACCCGATAAGACTGGCTCGGGTCTTTTAACCCACCCCAGGGGCCCTTCTGACTACACGCTTTAGGACAAGAGCTCCTGAGGCTCTGAAAAAACCTAGGCTGGGGCGATTTACAAAGAATACTAGCTTCATCTAGTGAGGGAAAGTATGAAAGAACAAGAATAAGTATTACACTAAATTAAAGAAAAATAGAATGTATGTTAGCTTTCTACTGCATGACCAGTAAAAAGAGATATTCAAGATTATGTGTGTGAGAAACTTAGTTTTTAACTTAACAACATTTAAAATTCTTTACAAATATGATCCCATTAATTTTTGGGAAAAGCTCACTGAATCCACAAGAAAACAGGAGTAGCTCTGAAAACCCAAAAATAAACTACTTACATGCAATTATCAACATTACGTTGAAGAGCCAGGGCAAGTCTGTAGGTTACACTCCTGCACTGGGTGTCGCCTGAAGCAGATAGCCGTTTCTCTTGTCACTCTTGTCTCAGAAGAAAGGAAATGAGGCAGGAGCCAATCAGATGAAGGGGCGGGCTGTATGAACTGTCCAATCAGGTGGGCCGAGGTAAGCGGGCTCTTCCGTTGTCATGCCGCCTAAGCGCCGTGGTACGTTCCTGTGAGTCTCCGACCTGGGCAGACAGTTTTCTTCCATGACTTCTATTCGCTGCGGATGTGCGGAAGTACCCTGGGAGACCCTCTAGCCACGCAATGGTGACGTTCTGGGACGAGAGGCCTGGGATGGGGTGGAATCCGGGTGAGGTCTGGATGAAAGTGGCCAGAACCTGCTCTGATGAACTAGAGATCCCCTGCTTAGTTCCAGTCCTTCAGGTCTTTGTTAGTGAATCAGCCCTTGACTCTTTTACCCTTTTCCGGGGTAGGGCCTGTTGCGGGTCCCCAGTATCCTGTCCAGTGCAAGACTGCCAGCCGAGAATGCCATCTTGGACAGCTCCAGTCACAGCTACATCTCCACCATTCTGAACAGAGCAAAGTCCTTAGCGAGACCCTGATTCCGCTGTGGGTTGGAGCTGGGTGTAGCTGTGATATTCTAGGACCCTGGTCTCGTTTTTTCCCAGCGGCACACCTGGTGGATCTGAGTTTATAAATGATTGTGATGCAGGGTCTCATACCCATATCTTTCCTCCTCAGCTCTCTGCTTTATTATATTGATAATGATTTCCTAAATTTCCAGTATGTGCTCAATTGCCAAACATGATAGATGTTGATAAAGGCCATGAGAATTCAAAGAATGGTTTAACGTTGCTGGTGATGTGACAGTCCTGGACCACTCGTCAAGTATACTGAACCCTTGGCCCCATCTACAGAAACAAAAAAAATAATTAATTACTTAGGTGTGACCTCTACCCATAATTAGATTTTAATTGAGGCCTTCCACAGAATGTAGGAGGCTGAGAAAAATGGAAGGTATTAGCAAAGACAGTTAAAAATGTTTATGCTAAGGATAACTTCAAGAAGGGGCTGCTTCTGAGAAACACATTGAATTGGGGCTTTTACTTGGATATATATATGTGATATGAATATGAGTGGAAAGGGAGTGTTAATATTCCATAAGCAAAGAGAGACTGCTATCCTTGAAATTTCCCTAGGTATTCCCTGTATATTCCCTGTAGCCCTTTTCAGTTGGCATCCTGGAGAAACCCATAGAATGTCCAGAAGGGTGGAGAAGGGCACAGCCGAGACAAAGAACAGAGCTTCAGTTCAAGGCACCCCTTAATGTGTATCTTCTTAGAGCATCAAATAGAGTTTTAGCAGTTCTTGTGGCCTTTGTTTTGCCATTCTGGTTACCTTTTCATTTAGGAGCTTATGTGTCCACCTACTTGCTAAGTCAGTGGTTTTCAGGCATTGTTGTTTTCACATATCAGAAAACATGTGTATGTGTGTCAACATTTTTGTTGTACTCATGACAGCATGAGTAGTATCTTGTGGATAAAAGTCACACAGCATGAAGACAGCCCTTATTAAAAGTAAACCCTGGCCCCAAATATAACTACTGTTGTGCTTGACAGCCCTTTGCAGGTGTGTACTCCTTCCACTGCAGAGACTCAGCTTCTCTACTAGATTGTACACCACAGCTTTATGTATACTTTTTATGCTGTCTATCAACTTCAGAAACTGATGAGTACCATACATATACTTTACTGCTGAGATACATCCTGGTCTCACACAGTATACTATAAGTGTGTCAAAATGGAAGTATGTTAGAGAGTTTATCCTGTATTTTATCAAATTCACCCCGTATTTTTTCCAGATTTATTTGCCTTGCAATGTGTACATGTAACTTCTGACAAGTCTCCACTATTTGTCTCCATAATATCTTATTTGCCTTTCCAGTTTTGGAAAGCAGGCATCTCTACTTAAATATACATTGTCCAGAATACTACCACCTGTGAACAGTAGATTCTATTTGTAATAATGAACCAACACTGAACTTTTTCTAACTTGATAAGCTTCACTAATTTGTAGTGAAACTTAATTGCTTTTCAGTTTTCTCTCTTCTATGTTTCCATTTTTATGCATTATTTTTATTCTCTATATCTCCTTGTAAATTATCTGCTTATATCATGTTCTCCTCTCTGTGATGAACATTGTTTTTTTGATAAAATTTTGTTGTTGTTGTTCTGGGTATTTATGACTTGTAGAGAATCAAAATAACACATTATTTTTCCATCTAATGTTAGTTTCATTGAGTGGGTTTTTGCTGACCATAAATTTTCATTATTACTTTTTGTGTCTTTTCAAAGTCACCTTAACATTTATGGATTTATAGTTTTATTTCTGAAGATTTCTTCATTTCCAGCTCAGAATGTCATTTTCTTGTACTTTCTGTATATTTTAGTTGTTTCACTCTTGTTTTTGAGTCTACTTGGAATGCACCTTTGAAAATTTGTGATGAAAAAAAATCAGAATAGCTTGGCATATACCATGTGACATTGTATGTATCATCAAAAAGCACTGATGAATCACATGTTTTGATTTTTACTGCCTGCCTTCTCAGAGGTGTTTGTTTAAAGCTAATGCATTTCTTGATATTCCTTTCAAATTCTGTATTTGCATGTTGTCTAAAGTTCAAGCTTAAATGACTTAACCATATAGTATGATCCAAACAATGAGAAGATACCTCTACTTTTTTATTTGAAATTTGAAAAATATAACACTATACTTTTTTCAGAAGAGATTCTAGTAAATGTTTTTCAAATTTATAGTTTATTTTGGTATTATAAATAAGTTGTATTAAGCATATAGTAATTTAGATTATTCGTAGCATATTGTCTCAACCCACCTAAATTTATATATTAGTCTCTTAATATTCAGATCATCTTTTCCAGTTTTACTTGTGTGTATTTTTCTCTTTGGGGATGTTGCAGACCTTTAAGGAATTCTTTGACTATTTACAATAATTTTTAACAGTTGTTTATATAAAGCTTAATGGTATGTGAGATCATGTATATGTATCAGTTATGTCCCTGTTTTGACATGTGAGGAGGCATTTTCTTTAACAGAACTACATATTGGCAAAAACTGAGTGAGGAAGCAGAATCATCTAGTTGACTCCTTTTCAGGCAGATTTTAGAAGTATTTGCAAAAATTTTATGCAAGTTAAGTTTTCTAATTAAATGTATTTTTGAAAATGTTGTTTCTTTCCTATAATGTTCATCATATTCACATGTCTTGGGAACATTCTTGCACTATTGATTCTATTAAAGACAAAATATTTTTTCTGTTTTCACTAATAACTAGATTTTAACAGGTATTTAGAATTCCCTGTAAACTTCGTGTATGCTGACCTTCAGATTATATGTTTAAGAACTATAATTTGTGTTCTGATTTTGTTTTATGTATCTTTGTTATACTGACATAGTTTTAAGATGTGTTAAAAATATGAGAAACTGATTGTTGTAGTTTATCTTATATTTGGCAACATAGATCTCCTTGTCTCTTCTCAGATTTTACCTCTTGATTCTTTTTTGATTGTTGTTGTTATTTTAAAGAAAGAAAAAAGATAAACATAACAATGAAACTGAGTGTCAAAAAACAGGTTAGTAAGACGGTTACAATAGTTGATACATTGCTTACTGTTGTTTTTGTAGTTGTTCAGAATGCAACACCTAGGCATACCTTGTCCAAGCAGTAATCACACAAAGCTTCCTTTTCTAGAAACTTAAGAGAAGCTAGCTGTATATCTATCTTAACTGTCTTGTGTCTACATAGATATTTTTTCCTTTTCCCTTTCTTCCATTTTTCTTTCCCCCATCACAGTTGTCTTTACTTTTGAACATTTTCTTCCTAATGCTTAATATCTATTGTACATTTTGGATCCTATTTACTAGTTCAATTTTGCACACTAATGAGACAATATGATGTTTTATTTATTTCACTTATGAGTATGGTCTCAAGTTGCATTCTTTTTTTTTTTTGTCTTTTTCCTTTTTATCGGTACCAGGGATCGAGCTCACGACTGCCTGCTTGCAAGGCAGGCGCTTATGCCGCTGAGCTAAATCCCCAGCCCCAAGTTGCATTCTTTTAATATTTGTGCATAGAGATTTGATCTCTTTCACTTCAAGCCTTATGCTACATTTTCTTTCTTACCTTCTAACACACATTTTTTTCATGTGATGGAACAGTGGAGGCAGTGAACATTCTTATTTCTAGTTTTGAAATAAAGTATTGTACCTAATTGTGCAATTAAATTATGTCTTCATTTATTATAACATGTGCCTCAAATATCACTGGTGCTGAGTTTGACAAGGATCTGCATGAAAACACAGTACTAGAAAAAATAAAAGAAAAAACAATTGAGGGGAAATTGCTTAAGTCAGAATCTAGAAGACTTACCTATATTCTAATATCCATTGAAGAATTATTCTCAATAGCTAAGGTAACAAAACAGCATAAATCTACTTCAGTGGTTCTGTTAGTAAGTTTTCACTTACTATGAAAAAATGACTCACCTAATTTAGTGCTCACACTGGCAGCACATATACTGACTTTTATACTTTAAGAGGAATAATGATTTACTTTGGGCAGTTTCATAAACTTCAGTCCTTGGTCAGCCTGATTTATTGCTTATAGTCCTGTGGCAAGGCAGAAAAATAATTACAAAAATGCATGGAGAATGAAAATTGTTCAGTCTCATTTTGTTCAGGAATGAGAGGGTATAAGAATGAGAGATGAAGATGAGGAATACAGTGTACCATTCTAGAGCATAATCTCATTGACCTTCTTCCTCCATTACATGAATAAATTAATCTATTAAAGGGGTAAGAATCTGCATTATATGCTTAAGCTCACACCATCCAATTAGCTTGCAACCAAGCCTTTACATCATGGAATTTGGAGGACATTTTACTTTTAATCCATAACAGTGCCAAAATGCATAGAAATGATGGGTTTTGCTCATAATGCAGAGTATAATTTAGTCTCAGTAGGAAGGATATCATGACATTCATGACAACATGAACTAACCTGGGAACTATTAAAGTAAAATATTCTAGACATAGAAAAACTATAGCAGGATCACACTGTACTTAGCATCTAGAATCCTAAACCTAACAAGCAGAGATTTTAATGATAGTTGATGTGGGTGGGTATTTAAAAATTGGGAGAGGGCCAGGGATATAGCTCAGTGGCACAAGCCACCTGCCTACCAAGCACAAGGTCCTGAGTTCGATTCCTTGTACCTAAATAAAGGAAGA